CTTTTGATCATGATTGAGTAGCTTTCCTCTCTCATCATCTTTAAATCAATTTCATTTCAATTGCCTATTCTTTATTCAATGTGATTATTTTTATTCCTGTTCGTGTCCATCACTTTTCCTGTATTTACTTGGATATTATTTATTGCCAGTGAAACAGTTATCAATAAGATAACAATAATTGGTTGCTGTTGTTGTTTGTTTTTGTTTCTTGGGATTGACTTGCAAACAAACAACTTTCCACTGGTTAAGTGATATTGAAGGATTGGTTAAGAGGGAAAGGTTAAAGTTTCAATATAAGGTTATCAGGAAATGAAATTTTCATTGCAATGGAAAGAAACAAATGAAGGGAAGCCAAATCAGGGAATAATTTCACTGAAAACCTTTTCCTTTTCAGGCTTAAGGGTCAAACTTTTAGTTTCCACTGTTTGTCAATGTTGATGATGATGAGGATGATAATGATGAGGTTAAAGATGATAAAGGAAACCAAATTTGACCTCATTCTCAATCAACTTCAATCAACTTGAATCAACTTTATCTGCTTCTTTAGTGAAACATTTTTCAAAAGGCATGATAATCAGAGGATGAATTTTCCAGTTTTTAGGTGAATGAGTTTTGGTGAGTTTGGATAAAAATAGTTTTTCGGGAATTTTGGGATTCTATGGTAAAGTCTGTCTTTCAAGGGAAATGATCAGTTTAGCCTTTTGTTTTTGATTTGAGCCAATTTAACTATTCAATTGCGTGTTCAAGGTAAAGTTAGCAATTTTCTGATTCGTTTTTAATTATCGTGATTTCTTTCGATGATTGAAACAAACTTGCATTTCGTGACTGCAAATTTTCCCACAAAATTGGAGTGAAAATTTTATCAAACATAAATGGACACTTTCCAGTTCCAAGTCAACTGTAAATATTGATTTGAAAAAACAAAGAAAATTAAATATTAAAGAAGCGCAATTTTTCTAAATTAGTTTAATCTATTCAATAACTCATGATGAGCTATCCACAACTTGCTTGAAAAATTTTCCGATTTTCGTTGAGTTCTGTTCAGTAAATTTCTTAAAGTTTTTAATGATATAAGAGTGAAAGAAATATAAGATTGAATGAATAGACCGAAAGTTTAAAGTCCTAATATCACATTGGAATCGAACGAGTTGAATTGAAAAAATCGAAAAATTCCAAATGAATTATTCCAGAAGCAACTCTATTTATTTATTTCCAGAACCAGCTCACTTTGTGTTGTCTAGTTAATCAAAAATTGGTCAACGATTTTTGCATCTTTTCATGAAGTTGAATTTTCGCAAAATAGCAATTCGAATCAATTTTTTTATATTATTCATCAAATGAACCATTTGCATTTCAATTAGTAAACTCAATATTGAAATAATTAAAGTTGAAATTTGCTATTTGAACAGAAAAAAAAAGTTCTGAATTTTCAGAAAACTCATTTAGACTGTCCATTTTACTTGAGCAATTTTGAAGCAACAAACTTGGATAAAAAAAAGTAAGAAAAGTAGCAAATGAAAAATTTGGAAATTCGTTGAATCGTAAAGAAAAGTTTTTTTTTCATTTCATGATGAAAACATTTTTAAACGGATTAAAGAGCTTTTCTCAGTTTCATTTGTTTCAGCCAATTGATGTTGAGATATAAAGGGAAGAAGAAGAAGTTGAATCGCGAAAAGCCTACAGCTGACTGTGAAAGGCCATCTTAATCACCTTCCATGGCCACCAATCATCTCGAACTACATAACTTTGTTTTAACCCAAGACACACACTTGGATGTTGTTTGCCATTGAGTCAAAATTACACTCTTTTAGTTTACAGTCTGTTGAGTTTTGACAGTAAATGAATAGATTCCAGTTGAGTTTCAACAGAAGTTGAATTTTTCTTGCCAAACTCTTCTACCTAATCTACTGATATCTAGTGAAGGATGATAAAATGTAATATCATGAAAGTGAAAAGGCAAGGATGAACAGGGAAAAAAGGGAACAGATAACAGAACGGATTAATTTTTGGTTAAAATCCTAAACTCGGTTTAACACACATTTTTTTATCGCAGTTTCATGATGAGAATGGTGAAAAATGTTGCCAAAAGTTGAACTATTCAGTTGAACATGAGAACCTTTTTTCAGCTCAATTTTCTTTCTTTCCTTTCTTCAATTCCATTCTAGCAAAAATTTGAAAATTGAAAATTTTTCTTCTCTTCTCCTTTCAAATGATAATTTCTTTTCCATTGGAATGTTTCATGTCAATAAAAGTTGATGGATTCTTCATGGTTTACCTTCCAACAATCTCAACTATCAGATAATTATCAATTATCAGAAGGAAAATTTTCTCATAACATTTCATTTCCATGTTATTATTGCCATCAACTGGGAGTCAAAGTTTCAAGGGAATGTTGAAAAGTTGGTTTCTTGATAAATTCTCAGAGTTTTACTTCTCATGTAACTAAAAAGCTTTCTGATTTCATTCTTTTTCGAATTTTTCAAATTTTCTTTTCTGCTTCAAGCAAATGGAAACTTTTTGGACAAATTTGCACTTCTTTCTTTCAGGTTACAGTCTTTTTTTTCATCACCTTATGTGAGATTCAACTGAATCACTTGGAATGAAAAGAGGAAGGAAAAGTTTGATTCAAAGTTTTCATTTCAAATTTGGCTTTTCATTACCAACTTGACACATTTATTGTTACATTCAGAGTGAAATGTTGGTGTGCAAATGTTTCATCAATTGTGACCATTTCTGTGTGTTGATCAAGTTAACTTTAATTCAATCATTTCTTGTTATTCAATGTCAACTTGTTTGGATAAATTTATGTTAAACGAGAAAAAAAGTTCAGAATTTCTTTCAATCATTTGATTGGTTTATCCTGAATTAGTAAATTGGATTGAGTTTTAACTTGATTGGGAAATGTTTGAGTTGATTTAATTCAATTTTTACTTGCAAATTAACAGTTCAAGTTAAGTTTACAGTTTAATTAACTCCATTTTCAGAGTTACATCCAATTAAAGGGATTAAAAGTAGACTGAACAAGTTTGGTGTAAAATGGATTCAGCAAAATGAGTTGAACTGAAGAATGAGCCAATTTGAAAGTCTTTTAGTTTCTTAATCAATTACAAGAAATTAAATTTACGCAAAAAAAGACTCATTTGACACTTTAGATCCAAATTATTGAGAATTAATTTGACAGAAAAATGTTTTCAACTTGAAATGGCAAAATCGTAAAAATCTTAAATTATTAGTGAATGAAGAATGCATTTTGAAATGAAAAAATTTCATGAAAAATCAGAAAAAATGTTTTTTACTTTCAATTCTTTTCATGATAAAATTGACAAAGAACAGGTTCATCATTGAAGTCATTCTTCAAAAAAACATTTTCCCAATGAATCTCGAGTTTGATATCATAATTCAATGAAAATAAGCATTTTTTGGAAATGGATAACAATTTGAATCAATTAATAATTTGGTCCTTTGGCTTGCAACAAATTAGTTATGCAAATGAAATCAAAATAATAATCCAAGATTCAAAGTTAGTGTTCTGTTAAAACTGAATTGATCAGTTGAATCAAGTTTGAATATGATCTGAGGTAGGGGCTAAAGTAAAGAATAGCCAAAAAAGATTCTGAAAAGATTTCAAATGAGCGTGAAATGCATTTCCATTCCGAAAGGATATCGACATTAAAAGGCTCATTTACTTGTTATAATGAGAATTGAATAAAATTAAATGGCAACTTCATTGAAACTCAAGACTTGATATTTCCGCTGAACATACATTTTCCATTGATCTTTATTTATGAATGAATCGCTCAGATAATCAAATGAAAAGTGCAAAATAATTTTCTCTTTCAAGTGAAAAGGTTGAAAATGAATGTTTCCAAGTAAACATGAAAATCATAGTTTGTTTTGTTGCAATACATTAATCAAATATGATGAAAGTGTTTGAAAAACAAATCGCAAAATCAGAGCATGACAATCATGGAAACAGAGATAATCAATAAAAGAATTGAAATTTCATCTTTTTACTCAACAGTTCAGCTTGCCTGAATTTTCATCCTCATGTCCAATAGGTTAACACAAAAATGTGAACAAATTATCATTAAAAGTTGAACTGGCTGGAAGAAACAAAACAAACTGAAAGGCAAAAATGAAAAGATGATATTAATTTGAAGACAAGATGATCATTAATAATTGAAAATAAATGAAAAGCCAAGCATCATGATGATGATGATTACTAGTTTATTAGTGAAATTGGATATCATGATGATCATGATGATCACTTATCATTAACTTTGTAAAACTCGGTCAACCGATAACATGCTTTTACAGGTTAAACCAAAGAATCCAAATAATGGAGTGAACCTGATGAAAAGGGAGTGAAAAAGGCAGGAAAGAAAACAAAAAACTATGAAAATGTTTCAGAATAAAAATGATTTTCTCTCTTCTCAATATTGTATTCACATTTTAGATGGAAAGTGAGACAAAATTTAATCAGTAAAACTATCGATTGTTAATAATGAGGATAAAAATTAAATCAGTTGATCGTATTAGAAGGTAAAATTGTGATTCAACTTTAATACCGTGACAATGAATGGTTGATGAACACATACTTCAGGTTGATAACCTAATATAATCTGGAGCCAAAATTGAAGCAAAAAGTTTAACCATCTCTTCATCATTCAAATAATTAACTTGCGATTTTGATTCAAATTTTATTCTTTTTCCTCTTCTCTCATCATTTTCAATCAACTCTCTATTCATGAGCAACCCACACTTTTCCATCAAATCTCATGATAATATCTTCAATCTGAATCATTCGGTTAAATGATTTTGGCTCAATTTACATCAACACTTGATGAATACTTTTATTGATTTTGACCGATTCGTTAATTTCATTGATTTTTAATTGACTCTGAAAATCTTCATTTTCATCTTTTCTTCGACTTCTCCTTTTTCCGAATTTCCGTATTTCAAGATTTTCGATTTTCATGTTCATTTTTTTCTCTTTTCAGGTTTAACCATTTTGGATATTTTTTGCTTCAATTGGATTTGATATCAACTCGATATGATTTTAAGGTGAGTTTGATTTTTGATTCATTGAACGCTTAATGGGTTGTTCCTGGTTATTACATTGAATTTTTGGGTTCAGTCTTTTTTGTTCTTAATCATGATTCCAATGGTTTAATCCTGCGTTAATGACCTTGATAAACTTTTATCATTATCATGATGAGCACAATTTGGATGACAGAAAAATGTGTTCAAAGATCTTTTCCTTTTCTTCAACTAATTGAGTTAAACTCATCATTAACCATTAAAGGTTAACCTTTAACCTCCTCTGAAAGATGGACACAAGTGACAGTTATGATTGATTAACTAATGATGAACAGTGAAGCGACTCAACTCAAAGGTGATCAAAAGTGAAATGTTGCTAAGCAAACTTGTCAACATTTGTTTCCCTGAAAATTTAAATCTTCAATTTTACAAACTGAATGCTTGGACAAAGTCAAATTATGAATTTAATTCAAAGACTTTTTCAAATTGAAATCTTTAGGCAAAGTGTTGACCTTTTGAATATTTCATTGCTAATGGTTAGAACTGATCAAAGTTTGATTCCCTGAAATTGTCTTTTCTTCCCTTCAAATAGTTGTAACGTAAAATGAATAATGATTTTCATTGTTTATCAAATTGATTGATAATCGTTTCAATGTGATCGCACAAAGTGTCGAGTAAACATGGTCAAAGGTTGAAGGAATGTTGACTGGGAATGACATTTCCAGAGAATCGCAATAATCTGAAACAATGAAATTCAACATTCTAAATGAATGTCTAACAACTCATGCAAGTCTCTTTAATTAGTGCATTTCAAAAGTTGAATTCGTAGTTGCATCAAGATTACAGATAACGATTTCTCGCTCAATTGTTTTCACTTGTAACTGTCTAAGAGCAGGATCTCAATGTTGCTGTAAATGCCTTTCCAATTTCAATAATAACAGCAATTTTAACTCTGTCTCTAAAAGCTTTTCATGATATTTATCATGAACGACAATTGTTTGTCCAAAAGTTGCAATTGAATGGAACGTTCATTTTGACAGAAACTAAATCTGATGTTCTTTCATTGTTATTATTTTCAATTTGTATTGGAAAGCATCGATTGAGATGAAAGCTTTTCTTCGCTCAATCCTGGACAACCACTTAATTAAGTTAATTAAGTGAGGAATTCATTTGATCACAAATTCAGCAGTGAATCTTTGGATGATGCACTTTACAAGGGAAAGTTGCCAGTCGACTGATTGTTGCATTTACAGGTTACAATATTGTCTTTTTGTATTTGCAAGTGTCAAGGGAAGGAGAAGGCATTAAAAGTAATAAAAGTACAAAAATACTTGAATATTGAAGCACCATGTTTGCGAAGCTATTGATGAATCAGATTATTAATAGGAAAACTATGTTTTCATCAGATTAAACAGGAACTCGAGACTTGAAGGGAATTCATTATTGATGTTATAAAAGTCATTTTTTAATGATTATGAATGGTTACGAGCAAAAATGTTACTTTATAATGATGAGAGTCATTAATTTGGTAATAAAATGTAAAAATGCAACTCAATGGTTACTATGAATAGGTTTCAACATGGAATCATAAGCTGATAATAAAGTTGAACGGAATGATAATAGCAAACAAACTCTTCTCTAATTGGTGCTTAACTAGACTCAATTGTACTTAAACTGTGCAAAGAGCCCATGTCAACACTCTTAGCTTCTCAGGTCAAGGTGAAAATCAACTTGACTTGCTTAAATAACCGTTCAAAATTTTTATAGTTTTGCTCAAAAAGTTCATAAAAGTTTACTTCGTTTACAAACGTTTTGCGTGATAACTCTACAAGAATGGCACTAAAACAAATATGCTCCAGAAATGTGAACATCGAATAATTGCACGCATGAAGTAATTCCTCTTGATGGCGGTCCCGCGATCCTTTATTTTGTTAGCGTTAGTGAATTTATTTCTACGCTCTACTCTGGGTATTTTTAATCCTTGACGCCAGTTTATGCTAATAAGAACCATAAGTCAGATCTTTATGATATTCGGCCAGTAGAATTTTTAAATTGAAGAACCATAATTTGAAATATCAAGACCATTCAAGCTTTCGTAGTTATCTGACCTCTAAATGACATTCAATCGTCTCTTTTTACCAGTCATTGATTGTCTTTCAACTAAAATTATTTGCATTTCATGAGTTTTAAAACTTTTTTCGACCTTTGAGCCATATCTCGATAGATATCCTTGATTTAATCATTAATTAAAGTGCTTGTCAAATTAATTTTTGAATGACCTTCAAATGACCTCAAAGCTCAAAAGTCAAAATTCTGAAATTAAACTCAAATGGCCTTGAAAATTTGAAAATCCCGTCTGTCTGATGAACTGATCCGTTCTCAATTTTTAAAAAGCAAACTTATAAATAATAATCAACTTAAAAATGTCCTCTGGTGACAATCCATTAAGTCAGGTTTCCATTACAATCGTCTGTAAAAACGGAAGATACCATTAGTACCATTCAGCAAAAGTCAATATAAAGATAGATCTAATACAATCGATAGGTGGGAAAATGAATGATTGATATAAATACTGCATTTACCAGACAATAAGCATTTTACGTTAATTATGCATTATTTTTACCACTGACGAGTCAACAGATACTGATTGAGATTGATGCTAAAAATAGCAAGTGATGCAATTTTACAATCAACAGTCTGGGAATCTTAAATCATGGATTTATCACTTTTATTCAACATGCATGATTATAAAACAATTTTGCTGAGTAACAACCTTATTGAAGCAAATTAAATTAAGTTTCATCTTGTTTCTGTTGACGGAGCAAACATTATGATGATAAAATGGAAACATGTGAACAAAAGTAATAACCTGATTATCAGAATGACAAATATAGCCAACAATGTCTAACCTTTTTCATGTAACAATCAACAGCCAAAACGAGCAACACTTTTTCACCTGGAATCAAATTATCAAACATTTAAAAGCAAATGTTGTTCATGTTTCCAATCCAAAGGATTAAAATGTTTCTGATAAAAATTGTGTGAAAAAAATGGAAAGTAATCAAATATTCAAACGTTTTTCACTCTCATCTTTCCTGTTAATCAAATAACACAAAATAATAATGAATGTTAACCAGTTTAAAACTAAATGCTTGTTCAGTCATCATCCTGGGAATTGAACTGGCAAAAGCAAAGTTGAAGCAAAAATCGTTACAAGAATGAAATTGAAAGATTAACGATTAAAACTTAAATTGTTGAATAAAATTATTACTTTTCGTAATGGAAAATGGAGAGAAAAAAAAGAAATTAAATTTGGAATTAACTTTCATCCAACTTTTCAAGTCAACATTAAAATGATAATCATTTTAAATTATCATTTTGTTAATTCCATGTTATTATTATATTCATTGACATGAAAATTGAAATTCAAACAAAATTCATCAGAGAATTGACTGAAGACCCGAGCAAAGAGAAAAGTGTTCAACATTATAATTATCAAGTGAACCAAAATTGAATCCAATTTCACCAACGAAAATGAAGAATTCTGAGAAAATTTCAATTTCTCATGAATAAAGTAAACTTTAAAATGAAATTAAATGATTCATTCGCACAATTTCATGAAAGATTTTGGTCAAGAATGAAAAATCTTAACCAATCTGAACTTCGATGAAAACATGAGTTTCATTAAAATGTAAATGTTTGAACATTTGAAGAGATCATGAAAAGTTGAATAATGGAAAAAAATGAAGAAAAAAATTGACAGAATTTTTTCTTTTATTTTTTTCGTCCAATTTCGTGTTGTAAATGATCGAGTGAATGAAATGTTTAAATAATTTTGTTAAACTGCAAATGATATTCATCTATTTACTTCAATTGTAACACCTTGAAATTATAAAAGAAAAAGATGAAACTTCGAAAGTTTTTTCTTTTCTTTTCATTTGCATTCTATCTTCTGATTCTTTGTTGCCATGGAAACGTTCTCTGTCTGAAAACTATTTGCTATTGAGATATTTTTTGTGCTTCTTTTCACCCCATCATCATCATTATCATCTATTATTCTGTTGAGTATTTTTTTCCTTCTCTTTCTTATCTTTACATGTTTCCATGCAATATTTTCTGCAACATTTTCCATATCTTTTTGCTTCATCACCATGTTTGCTCAACTTAAATGCATATTTTAATCTCATGATTGTGAACGAATTTTCTCTCAATCTCACCTGATTAATGATTTTCGATTCAACAAAATGATTGATTGAATCAAGTTTCATGTTAAGCTTATCATTAAACTTTGACATTGATAATAATTTCATGAATTCAGTCTGGATTGGGCGAAAAAAAGATTAAAATTTAAACCTAGAAATGAACTGAAACAGATATTATCAAGAAACCAAAATTTCGTAAAAATTTCAAGTTCAGATTTTCTAGATTAATCGAGTGAACATTAAATGTGATTTCATCGCTTTGAGCTGAAACTGAAAATTTGAAAGTAATCATGAATCGCAAGAGATTTAAGTTTCTTATGAAGTTCCATCAGAAAAAGTATTTAGAAATTATTCAAAAAGACTTTTCGAGTTTGAAAAATCGATTTATAACGAAAAAAAGATATTCTTAGAGATTTGTCAGAGTTTTAGTTCGACTTGAACATTGTCTGACAGCTTGATTGTAAATGAGGCAAACAGTTACATTGAGCAACTTCATTAACTCTGAATCTGTTCCTGGAATTTCATGGAATGAAGACAATAAAATGTTCAAAGATGTTGCTCAATCAGCGTTAAGTTACAAAAGATTAAAACAATTTGATTGGAAACCTTGAATTGGCTGAATTTATTTTTCGATTGAATTTCAACTCTCACAGTTGAATGCTCAAAATGGAAACACTTGACAAAACCAGAAATGAATTCATTATTAATTTGGAAGAAAATATTGAAGGAAAAACAATTTCAAATTCACAAGGAATGAAGCCAAAACAGAGATTATCTTTGTTGTCTAAACGTTAATAATACATGACAAAGTAACGTCCAACT